TCACAATACCTGAGAACTCTGACTTCATTTTTTTTTGAAAAATGAAATGGTCTTTACTTTCACTCCCGATCAACAATCAAATATCTTTTCTTGAATTATGAATAACACAAATGGATTGAAATATTTAATTAAATTATGTCAAAATAAACCTTCATTTCGGTGCAATATTGAAATTAGCTTGAATTCTTCATAACCTCTGAATAGTGATTGACCCAACGGGTCATGTTGGTCTAGTTAACTCTAAAATCAAACTACTTTTGCAAAACAAAATTAAAATTTTTTATTTCAATATGCTTATCAGTTTTCATTGTTTAAGTTGAGGCTTTTAGAAAGATAAAACCAAATGTGAATCTTGTTATTCTATATTTACAGATAAAATTAATTTCTTTGGACAAAATATTTATAATAGTTGATTTATGAAAATTTTATCTTAAACCTTACAAAATCTATAATAGGTATAATAGCAAATTAGCTTCACATTACGTAATACTTGGACGGTTATTTCATAATGTGTGATAAGATTTCACTATATACATAACAAATAATGGCTGGCTGTAACCTTTAGCATGAAACCTTGTACAATCTTCAAATTGAAACTGGACAACTCGAAATTTTATTACCAACTGTACAAAAGCCCTCATTAGTTTTTGCTCAGCAAAAATCCAAACAGTGTTCATTATTTTGCTCAATGTTTCAGGTCTTTCAAAGATTTCTAGTGAATTCTTTCTATAAGCAAGTTTATTTGTATGGTCAAGTCTCCAGCATAACACATGCTTCATGGTTAAATGTCTGAAATAGATAAAACCTGTCTAGAGCTGGTCTTTAATTAACATCATTTATACAGGAATCATGTAAAAACAGGGTTTGTAAACCTTTGATGATTCAGATTTCCATGACTTTTCCAAAACTTTCCATAGCCCTCAAAACTAATTTTCCAGACCAAATATAACATGAAATAAATCATATAATCCACATTAACTGTATATTCTCTCTATATATATTATGCAAAAGTATATAGATGTATGACTATAGGTTAAACACAATGACAAGACATAGATTAACAATTATTTGACTTTCCCACCATCTTTGCAATTTCTTCATGCAAACTTTTTAATTCTAAAACATTTTCTTTTGCTGTTTTCCTGAAACTATTTGATTTTGCCAAATCAGTCATACTGCCTTGTTTTTTAGCCTTGTCAGCAAGCTCATCAGCAGCTTCAATTAAGGATGCTATATATTTTTCAAATATTTGGCATTTAGCCTTAAGTTTTGCAATATCCTCAAGGATAAGTTTCCTTTTCCACATCTTTTCATTCAGTTCAGCCCTCTCCCTCTGTTGATCAAGGTATTGAGTGGCAGTGAGTAGTTTCTTCAACAAAGAAGCTTCCAAAATACCTCAACTGACAGCATATAATCATAGATTAACTGCTGACCAACAAAGGAGACATCCTTCATGTTTTGAAACATTAACCCTTCATTCACAGAAGAGGTCCTTTCAACAATTGCTTGGCCATGAGAAAATATCAAAATGAGGTTGACAACCTGGCATACATAATCCATAGCTTGGCCCATGTGTTTGAACAAAAAGCAGTCAAGCCTATCAGTTTTAAGGTCAAAATCCTTGAAGATGTGGGAATTTGGCTTCACAACCTAAGATTTAAAACAAGTAACACTGTCTGAATAAGCAATCACATTCTTCTACTTTCAACAGACAGTATACTCTGAAAATGAGCCTTACTAGCCATCGCTTCTGAGGCCATTTTTATAGGAGTAAAACAGGCAACTTTAGAAGTAAATGAGTATTTCAATGGACACTTCACAAACAATTTCTCTATTAAACAGATCAAAACAGACAAACACTCATTGAGAAATGCAAGCTCATTGTTTGGAGTTGCCTTCTTTGTGGCAATTTGTTGTCATATTTTCTGTTGCGCAAAAACTGATATAAACATGCTATTACCAATTTGATATTTTCCATATTACTTAAGTCAGTTTTCAACAATTTAAATGAAGTGGCTGCTTTAGATAGCACATCATGTTTTACAACCCTTCTCAGAAGATTTCAGATCATAGTCTCAAGGTGACAGCTGACAAAAGGCAGTACAGGGTGGTCAGTCTGATACTTCTTCAGAAATGGAGAGAATTCTTCAGATATCAAAACATAAAATGATACTTTGCTATGGAAAATATATCATATGTTGCAGATTGCACAGTATTAAATGCTCAACTTTTTGGTACTGTGTAAGAGTTTGATTTGGCTTCAACTGTTTTGATGTATGTTTGGAAATTTGAAATAATTTCAAATGCCCTTTGTGCAACAAGTGTATTCTTCTCTACCCATCAGGTAGAACAAAATTTCAGTGCATGCGTACTAGAGCCAGTAATTTCCCCTCTAGCTGGAGGTTCTTTGAAAAGGCAGTACATTGATTTAAGTGTTGCTTCTAAATCCCAATCAGAGGCTTTAAAAGCAGTACAAAGACTGTGTAGAGACCATAAGATTCAATGTTGATTAAAGATGGGTCCGAATTTGTAGTTTTTAAGTCTGATTTTAATTTTTCATGGAACGACTAGTTAACATTTGGAATGTACCTCCCCATTTGCAAAAGTTGGTCCATTTGGTTTTTACCATTTGAAGATTTGTCATACAAGAGTAAAAAGTCTGTATTTTTTCAAAGCTTTTGAGGCAAATCTGATTTGATATATAGGGTCAATCCAAAATAAGCCACATATGCACATTTTGGATGTGATTTGACTATCTAGGAACATCTTTTTTGAATAGAACATTTATGTTTTCACAGTTTCTGTAACTGTGCCAGCTAACAATGGTCTTCAGGACCCACAAAACCTCAGCTTTCCACTCATCTTCTTTTGAAACATATGAATCCATAATTGCATAATGAGGTGCTGACACCTAGGTGAAAAGAAGTGAATCATCCAAAGGCTAATTGTAAAATAATGCAACTTTATTAAATTGTATTGTGCATTTAAATCAATGAAATTCAGTCCATTCTCTTTAATATTAACTTTAACTTAGGAATATTATTCACTTACTTTCTGGACTATAGCATCATGTTTATTTGTCTCAACAGTAGGCCTAACTGTCGATGTTACATCTGGCATTGGTCTAGATTCAGACAATATCAAAGTGTGTATGGTCGGCGTAGCTGCTGTTGAGAAGTGCAATTCATGCACATTAGCCTATTTTCATATGGCTTATTACTGCAGAATCACCAACATTGAACCTTTTATGGCACACATTACAACAAGCTTTTTAGCGATGTGTACTTGTAGTGAGCCATTCCTTGTACTTGTCCTTCAGAACCCGTGCATTCTTAAATATACATTTGCCCAGCATGTTTTACACAAGTACAAATTAAAGTAAATGCCACAGAACATAAAAATAATGATGGAAAAAATGGATAAATCATGATTACATAATTATTTGAATGTCGAGGCTCAGACAACAACAGCCTCTTTCAACCTTGAAGTAATTCAAGTTTCTATTTACACATGCACATATGCAGCAAATGCTCATCACTAAGGGAAAACACAAAGGGTTCACTTTGAAGATTATTGCCATTGGATATTATATGATGTAATCATCAAATTAATAAATTATGGAAGACACTTGTTTATAATACTGACAGGAGAAAGTTTTCATTTTCTATGATTTTTCCAAAACCCTGGGTAAATTCTCTTTTTTCCAAAATTTTCCAAGCCCTGAAAAATGCTTCCACAATTTTCCAAGACTTTCCATAATCCATACAAACCCTGTAAAAATATTGTGTCTTGCTGACCTAGAGTAAGAATACTGTCTATATTAGTTTCATAAAAACAATGCATGTCTCAAATGATCTAGAATTATAACACTCTCTATAGCAACTGTCTTATAAAATATATTACCTGTCTCAGTCGATCTAAAGTAAGAATACTCTCCAGAGCAGAAACTCCTCTTGTGTATTTTTCAATGTAACTCTCACCATCATTAGTAGCCACATCTTCACCAGAAGCTGCCATCAAAGCAAGTGTTTCTCTGTCTTCAGGGTCCTCAGATGCCTGCACATGAGAAGCAAACACTTTGACAGTCACATCAGCAATAAACATCACCCATCATGAAAAAAGCAAATAATTTAATTTATAATTCTACAGCCTAATGGGTAAAAAATATATTATGTTTCGGGTATCAAATAAAATATTCTGTCACACAATTTGGAAGAATTTCAACCAAAGCATAAAGTAACAGATCTCGAAAAAGGTGAAATCACATTCTAATTTTGAAACTTAGTACTTACTTGTTAGACTTAATAGTTTATAAAAAAAAAGAATGTTCTTTAAACAACATGTTTTTGAGCACCCTTTACTAATTTTCCCCTCTACAACTTGATATACAGTGTCATTCTATCTTATAAATTAAAATTTAATATTTTCAAGTAATTTTGATAAATAGTCTAGAAAGTTTAGTATGTATCTTTAAAATTGACTAAAATTTAATCATATTCATCAAAGAAAGTGCTCTCTTAAGAGTGGAATACATTTAAATAAAGAAGTTAACTTTTCAATTAATTGAATAAAAATGCTTTCTACACTCTTAATGAAATTATTTTGCAACATTTTTGATTAATGCGGGCTTAAGGAAAACATCACAAAATAAATATATTGAGCAACAAAGTAGAAAGAATTTTAATTCAATTAATTACAAAGTTATTTTATTTCTTTAAAATCATTTAAATAGTTTAATAAAAGAGTTCTTGCTCAATTCATTCTAAACAATGCCTGTAAAGCTGTAATATTTTCACATAACAATAAAACCCCTACAACCTGACCACTCTCAAAAAGTGGACCTCTCGAGAGTCCTCAGGTTACAGGGTTTTTATCTTATATATTAAGACTTCTTGAACCTACATAACAATAGTAGTCTAGCTTCATACCTTGGGAACATTAGATACCACTTCATAGATTACTCCTGATGAAAATAAGAGATCCTGTAATAAAAAAGATAAACATTACCTGTGTTCCACTGCAGAAGAGTGGTTCTACTGTATCAAGTGCTTGTCCTCCAAGTTGAGAAAAAGCAAGAATTTGTTATTTGCGCAATTAGTTTCATGCTTTTCAAGGTATTTTATATAAATCTACAGTAGAATCATTACACTCACAATAATTATACTTATGAATAATTGTGTGGGAATATAATACAGAATTATCATTCACTAAGGTTGACCTATAAAGTCTTGAACAAACAACCAAACCAAATATACAAATTCTAGTCTTGTTCTTTGTTAAATTTGGCACAGAGCTCTATGAAAACAACATAAATATCTCCAGCTTTGAGGTGATAAGACTAAAGGGAGACTGGTTGTAAGCACTTTTCAGAGATATAAACCTCTTGAGTATAAAAGTTTAATATCATTCATATGTCTCATTTTCAGCACTGACTTTTCTGTAATTAGATACAATTCCCACATCCAAATGTGAAATAAAATCCATCTTAGCATTTCATTGTTCTTTACATTATTTCTGTCCTTTTTGTAAATTGTTTACGCATTTTGGCTTTTATATTATTTGTTTATAAACAATACCAATTTATATAATGCACACAATATCTAACATATTAACATCTGTTAAACATTTTATAACAGACAAGATTCTTCTTACACAGATAATACAATGTGGAAAAACATTAGTATTACAATCCAATTTGTATAATAGTATTATATTATTAATTTAATAGTATTATATCATATTCAATGTATATTAAAGTTGTAATTTTCCTCTACTGAAAATGTATTTCTGATAGGTACGTACCTCCTCTCACATAAATAGCTATTTTTGTTCAGTACTGACCTCTATATGCAAAAAAAATGTTTTATGCATGCTACAAGCCTTTTATCTCACCTCCATTAAAATTAACTGATTCCAATGCATCAATAAGAGTGTGACATACTCTCATGACACGACTCCCTCTATTCAATTCTACTGAACTATCACTTTGAGTTTTGGCAAAAGATAGAAGAACCAGTTTTCAGTGGGTGGGAAGTGTGAAAAGTAAGTAGCTATCTGAAATACATTTTCAGTGTAGGAAAATTATAACTTCCAATACAGTACATTACTTCTCACATAAATAGCTAGAATCCAATACTGAATAGGTGGAGGGACTGGAGCAAGGGGAAGAAAGAAGTATCCTTCAAAAGCATCCAAGGGACACTCTCGAAGAGCAGACTGTCAGATTCTAAGATCTGATGTGGGGGATCACATCACTTCTAAACCCCTGTGAATCGTTTTCGTGATTTTAATGGTTTAATTTTCGAAGTGAGTTTTCCTCATAATTTTTTTTTCTTTACAATGAAGAAATCTTTTACTTTAACTTAATTTCCCAGTCTTTATTTTTTTCTCACACTTCTGCATTTTACATAACATACTTGTCTACTTATCCTTTTCTTCATTCGGTCCATAATAGATTGTCTCTTGTAAACATTGATGGCCAGCCGTTTCCTCAAAATAATGTCCATAGTAGCAGGATGGCTCAATCGCACAGTGACCTTTAAGATTAAGTAAACCCGCTCGTTCTGAGGTGTTACTCGATTTAGGAAGATCGAATCATGAATAGATGAGTCCCAGGCAGCAACTGCTGAAACCTACAAGTAAGTAAAAGATGTAGCTTACTTGAGTGTTACTGTTTAACACAAAACTTCCATTTAGCCAAAAGAAACCTTAATCTACAATTCAAAAGTTAAGGAAAAAATTATATATATTTATAATTTATATATCAGACTATGCCTTTTTCAGTATGTATACCACTTCTTAATTGCCCAATGAATCATTAAGGTTAAAAGTTCATTGATACAATATACTGGTACTTGGTGAGCAGCCAGGCATATAGAATTTCTTCATTTAAAAATGCTAATAAAGTTTTGAACAATAAGAAAAATAAGATATTTATGTAATTAATATATTGTTGTTAGTAATATACCTAAAACCAGGGGGAGTCAGTGCACTTTTACTGGTCATAAGTGAATACAGCAATGTTGACTGTCATTAACTTAGACATATTGTATATCTGTTTCACCCTTAAGGTGAAATTATGGTAAAACACTGCCAGTGGAAAACATACAATCCATATGCTCATTACCCACATTGATTCAGGATGTAAAGTTTACATTTCATAATTCAAAGAAAAGTCTTCTGAAATGTTCTTTTGTTTCTTGTTTTTATGTTTGTTCTTTATGTATAATTATAAAAGTAACTAAAATGTCAAAATAGGGATCCTTTTAAGTTTGTTAAGATTAGATTAGATAAAATAAATAATAATAATAATATTATAATAAAAATGTTTCACGTGGAACACACACATAAGCAGCTCGTGGGTAATATAATTTGTTAGTGTAACGTGAGCCGCACGTTCCCCAAGTGATTTACAACTTATAATGGTGTAGATGGTAGTTAGACATGGTTCAAAGGACAATAAAACAATAAAATTTAATTATAAATAGATGTATACTGTTACAAACTTAGAGCTACTTAGGATCAACAAATGTAGTTTCATATAACAATCTGACATTATTCTAGAAAGAAAACAATGTAATTTAAGATTATTTCAATTTTTTTCCGGTTACAAGATCGGTCAAATTGACCTATGCTGTTTTGAGATAGGGTAGAGAAAATAAAAGATAAACTATAAAGTTCTACTTAAAAAAAACGTTTGAAATGCATTTAAGAGGTTTTAGGGCTTATACTATGAAAGTTTGAGATTTCTGAGATGAGGAAAAGTATTTTAATTTCTAACATGAAAATTACTTTGCAACAGACTATTCAAAACAAATATGCAATATATCATGGACAAATCTTTATTTTAAATTATTAAAAATACTTCACTAAAAATATGATTTTTTATGTGTGAAAGACTGCCAAATTTTGTGAAGGTAGACAAACAGTATTGAAAGTTAGAAGTATTAAATCTATAAAGACTTTAAACAAATACAAAGAGGTTATGTGGTTGGTCATATTGACTGAGACATGTTGAGAGAGTTCATGGGGATCAACGATGAATAATGCAAGTCCCTCTCTTTCATTTTTATTAGGTCAATATATAGTGGTCAGTTGCCTGAAGACTGAAGTTATATTTCTCCTATGTCTAAAGAGGGTGATAGAGAGTTTCCCTGAAAATTATAGGCTAGTTAGTCTTACATTTTCAGTGGTAAAAACTCTAAAGAGATTGAAAACATAGGCTTCACAAATTTGATTAATGCAATGCAAAATCAAAAGTAGATTTCATAATTTGTTTACTTTTTTGAGCATATTACTCGTTAACTCTTTCAGTATGGGCTCATTCCCTGGGACTGACATAACCATTTTATGCTTTTTATAGTTATATAACTATAACTTTTAAATCAGCGTATGTTCACAACATTTGGTAGATTATCAGTAAACATTACAAGGCTTTCTTCCACAAAATATCAGATTTATTTTATTAAGTCTTAAGGTATTTTAAGTAATGTTTTTCTCATGCCTTTTTCTTTTCACATGTTGCCTATCCAACACGCAAAGTAATTTTCATTTTAAGATTATAAATACTTTTATGAGTTAGAAAATTATCAAATTTCACAAGCAAAATGTTTATAACCTCCAGATAATTATCAACATTTAAAAAAAAAAAATTATAATTTATCTGTTATTTTCACTATGAAATCTCTGTACGGTTTCAGTAGATTTGACCGATCTTATAACCACCACAAAAAATTTGGAAATAAATATAAACTATGCTTTTTCCATTCTAGAATGACGAGAAAGTATAACTCAAAAACACAAATGTTAAGTCTAAATAGTTTAAATGTCATAACATTATACATTTACATATATATTATTTTTCTTATATTGACTTTTCAGCCATGCGTGGCTAACATTACAGAAGTTATAATGACACGGTACACATGCACTCATGTTACCGTATCCAAGAATATAAAACTGACCTTTAGGCTTTACACAGTGACCTGTCTTGGCTGTGTTTTAGTGGACTAGTATTTTGTAAAATAAAGTCACATTTCAGTTATAATACATTATATATGTATATACATTATTACCATTTAGAAATAAGTTCTTAAACTTATTTTTCTTAAAACATAGAACAGTAAATAAAGCAGTATAGCAAACAATTATCTCTTCTGGTTACGAACTTTGTACTAATTTGCTGCTTGCCATAGGTTGCTAAGCCTTATGAAATTTCGCATGTGGAGAATGTGAAACAAAATAATTGTTTTTAGGTTGTATATATGTACATTTTAAATAACCAAAAAATCATAAATTACTATATTAATACCATAGAATTCTACTATAATTTATCAAGCTTAGTAACTAATCTGTATTTCAATCTTGAAAAATATGAAATTTCGAGCAGAATAAAAACTCAGCTTACCAGCTTGAAATCTTGTATCGAAAGAAGGAATCGATGTCAAATACTTTAAAATGGCTGAGACAGAAGAAGTAAGTGTGTAAAAGGAAGTGTTTCCAAAAATGAAAAAGGGTAGGCGAGGCCACTGTGTGTAATTCAGTAAATGAGCAATATCTCAGCAAATAGAAAAGATAGGAGGTTCTTATTTTATATTCTAGCTTGTCAATATCAGTAACTTCGAGTTTCTAATTAATTAGAAACTATAGACTTTGTATTTGGACATCACAAACATCTAATTTGAACCAGTGCTGCATTCAACATACCATGTGACACACTAAAATCGATGTTTAGCTGTGTTTTTAATATTTATTTTTAAATTCAGAAATTAAATAATATATAACATTAAAATTTGAATTATAATCTACAATTTGATACCAAACTTACTGACATAGATTCATGAAATAGCTGTTGAATAAAATTTTGAATTCGAGTCAACAAACGCAATGGTATGCTTTTGACCAATGACCCGTGTGGAGAGGATTAACTGAATGATGAAAATAGTGTGGATTTTGTGTACTTAAGATTTTCATTATGAATCTAATAAAGTTCCATAAAGTAGATTAGCTGTGAAAATTAGATATACAGGGGTTAAAAAAAGACTAATTAACTGTACAATGGTTGGATGAGAAAAAGCAAAATATTGTTATTAACCCCTTGACTTCTGGTACACTCTTTAAATTCCTTTGTGTGCATGTCACAAAAAGTGTTACTGAGTTACATTCAAAACTTAATTAAACCACTTTACTTTCAATGTATTTTAATGAAATTAATATTATCAAGTACTTTATAATTCAGTTTTATATTATTGAAGTAATTATTCCTTTATTTTAAGATCCAGGGTCAGTCACAAACCCACCCAATAATTATTTTTTGCCAGAAAAAAATTAAAATTTCAGAAGCATTTTAGCTGGGAAAAATACCATAAAAAATGGATAACACTGCCGCACGTAAAAAATTCAGTTTTTTGAAATCAGTTTCCATTTTCACGTGGCATAACTATGACCAAATGACCATATGAAGAACGTAAATACAAAAAGAAAGGAAGCTGCAAAAGTTGTGAAATGTGTTTACATTGTGATCCTCTAGCTATATATACAGCAAACACTGCCATGTTATCCCCCAAAGTAGACGTGGAGTAGTGCAAAAGATCCAAAAGCCAGTAAAAAAAAAAAAAAGGAAGAGGCAGAGCAAAATGTTCTTTTGGAAATGTGTGCTGAAGAGAGTGTTTCGTTACAAGATTTGGATATTGAGATTGAAGATGTAGTAGAAGAAACCTAGAAACATGTTTATTATCACTAATTATGCATTGAAATTGACTAACAGCTTCACTGGAACTAAAATAACTGTAATATTTGCAATGATCAAAGCATTCTGAATATTTCCTTTGATTTTCTTGGAAGTCAGAAATTAGCCAATTGTTTTTGCCTACTCCTCCACGACAAGAAAGGATTTTTAAACTCCAAAAGTTGTTCTTGCCTTTTTTAGACCATTCCGCACAGTTGTGGACCTTATCCGTTAATTTTTGACGGGTGGGTTTCTCTCTGACCGGGATCTTAAAATGAACCTCTGAAACAAACAATTAAATCTTCAGTTTTGTTGTCAAATGATGTGTATTCAGTTAGAATATATGAGCTTTGATTTCTTCTGTTTCTATTCAGCGTAGTCTCAGTATCTCTATGCATACAAGGTCAAGTTCTAAACTTAAGGTCCATATTACAACAGACTAAGATTCCAAGAAGGAGCTTATTTCTTTCTCTCCCTCTGATAAACACCATGCCAACATTCCAAAGTAGTCTGTTGCTAAGCAACAGTCTTTTCTAGACTTGAATGGCATGCTTTCAACCAAAGAGCAGATTTTTCAGTCTAATCTCTCAAGGAAACAGGAACTATAAATTATAGGTTATTTTTCAAACCAAAAGTAAACTGCTACTAAGTCCATTGTTGAGATCAGTGTCCCTAGTGCTTGTGAATTTTTTTTCGCCTTATTCATATTAGTTTGATAGATAATTAAATTGTATTTAAGTCTTACTTTTATGTTTTAGTAATTATATATATTATTTGTATTTTAAAAATCATATTTGAAAGGTTGAATGATTTTTAAATATTATTCTAAGCTTTGCCTCACTCAAAAAGTCTTTCCTTAAAAGGCGAGTGCAAATTATGTCTCGCCGGAGACTAAATTGTGTCTGCCGATGACAATGTTATATCACCCGTGGACACCAACTGACACATAAATAATAAAAGACAAAGAATTGGAGAGGAAAATAAAACATTAAAAATAAAAAATTTTGAAAAGGTAAAGACTTGAAATTACACATATGACCCATCGAAGATATTTTCAGATTATTCAATGATGAGAGAAAAGGTATGTATATATTTAAATTTCTTGATTTTAAACATTTCTTTGCACTATATATCATGATAATAGCTAGTTAGTTATACGGTAGAGAAAATAGGAATTAACACTTTCCTAAACTGAAAATGTATTTCTGATAGACAGTTATCTCAGAAAAAGCTTTCTCGACTTGTACTGCCCTCTATCGAGGCAACTTTTTGCTCACCACCAGCCTTGTTACTCCCACTTATTACTGCATAATAGCATGCAAATGATCATGCAGCAACTCTCCACCAATAGGAGTGCGACACTACGCCTATTGTAACTAGCACCCTCTCTAATCATGCACATGCTAATCACTTCGAGATTGATCATAACTAATCAAACCAATTCACACTGGAAGTGGGAAGGACAGGTGGGAAATGTGAGAGAAGGTAATTATTTATTAGAAGTACATTTCCAGTTTAGGAAAATGTTAACTTCTGATAACATATTTTACCTCCTCTTCAGAAAAAGCTAGAATCCAACACTGAACTGGTAGAGGGCTGTTAAGAAGATGATCCCCTTTAAGAAGTACCCAAAGGAAGATCATGAGGTGTGATAAGAAATTAAAAACAACATACCAGAAGGAGATTGCACCACTTGTGAGCCAGGACTACTCTTTGCCTGTTAGTAATGTGTTGCCAAAACATAAAGGGTGGGAACTTTGAGGGGTTGCAAAAAAATATAGAAATAATGGGACCCTCCTTGTCTAGTGTGGCTAGGGTGAGATAGACTGTAAATGAGAGTTCAACCTCAACCAACACCTGGCGGCATCCGGAATTGTACATCAGGTCTGCAGTAGGAAAAGGGTTCTCTACCTTTCAAACCAAAAACAGGTATCAGCTGGGAAGAGGAGCTCCTGTACAAAGAAACCGTCTCCACATGTGCATATCTCCAACACAACCAACACCAAATCCACTAGGAACTGACATCTGTCAGATTTTAGGACGGAGAAAAGCCCAGGTGGGTGTTAAGCTCCAGTCAAAAATCTGGCAGCATTAGCAATTTGGTCATCCAGTCCACAGTAGGAGAAGGGTACTCAGCCTTACACAAATGAGAAGTCATGTGTCTCATCCAGCTATAACCAACAACAGATCCACCAAGAAGGGTACTCAGCTCTACACAAATGAGAAGTCATGTGTTTCATCCAGCTACATCCAACACCAGATCCACCAAGAATGGTACATCAGGTCTGAGGGAGAAAGAGTCTCAATGTCACAGACATCTAGCATATTTACAGTCCGTACAGTGCAGATTTAAAACTAAGTATACCTGGTCATGCAAGACTTGCCACAGAGTGGGATCCAAATATGCAATAAAGGACCCTGCAAAGAAAAAGAATGGTGTACTTACCATCCACAGATAAACTGTTACAGTACTGATGATGTCCCCAAAGGAAAGATGGAAATGTGCAGCCAGGAACATGGTAAGGTGACAGTCCTGATGGGAAGACAACATGAAGAGTGACAATCATGAGGAGAAAGGGAAAAAACACCAGGTGAATGAATTGGCAATTTTAACCCATAAGGGTGGTGGGAAAAGATCACAGGAGAGGTGAGGATTTCACGGAAGAAACAAATGGACTCGGGAACCATGGAAGGGAGCAGTACGTGTCACACACCCTCGGAGATCCCTGACGTGACAAAAGAGATGGTGGGAATAGAACATTCTAGAAGGGCAGGGGTGGAACGTAGAAAATGGGAGATAAACACAGAACACTACATACCTGAATAACAAGTCCCCTGAAATGACACATAACTAAGAGGCATATTCAGGAGAGAGGGAAAAGGCTGTCCAAATCCAAAACTAAAAGATTACTTAAAACCCTATTAGGACAATCATCAGTGATTTCTGATTGTATCATTGAAAGTGTCCAACTCCCAACAGACCGAAGCCATCACTTCATGAGCCGAGAATCATGGTGTCAACCTGCTAGTCGTGATCAAGAATTCCCCTGCCACAATAAGATCATGTCATAGTCGTGACTACCTGAAACTGCAAGTGCATAAATCCCAAAATTGAAAGAAGATAAAATAAATGATAATTATCCAAAAAACAGAACAAAAATGTAAAATAACAAATTAACTAAAGGAAAAATTCACGAAAGTAAAAACGAGTGGTTAGGTTAATTAAACTGTGAATGAAAAACACGCCTAATTAGTAGGACTGCCAATCAAGAAGTGATTAACATGTGCATGACTAGAGAGAGAGTGCTAGTTATCATTGGGGTAGTGTCGCACTCCTATTGGTGGAAAGTTGCTGCATAATCACTAACATGTTAGTATGCAGTAATAAGTGGGAGTAACAAGGCTAGTAGCAAGCAAAATTTTGCACCGATAGATGGCAGCACAAATCGAGAAAGCTTTTTGTGAGAGGAGGTAAGATACTGCATCAGAAAATAAGATATAAACGTTTACCTGAAAAAAGCTTTTGATATTCATTTAGGAGATCATGCAAGTAAAATATGAAAACTGTAAGAGCTATTCAGAGTCTGGGTGCAAATAACTACATTAAATAATGATTTTTCATTAGAAATAGTAAAAAAACAAAATAAAATATTTTATTTTTCTGAAATTACATACTTTTAGGAACTTCTTGTCAAATTTCAAACAATTTCATCCACTAATTTTATTTTTGGAATGAAACATGACAAGAGTGACATTACCTACTAACAATTTTCGTTGCCAGTAGTCATAGGGTTCATACGGTCTAGATAAACTGGACCTCTATTACTACTGGAGTGCTCCAGGGGTCAGTTCTTGAGCTTTTTCCTTTAAAAGTTACATTAATTATGTTGCTACATTTTTAAAATTCTGAAGATAAAAATACTATTTCTTACCTCTTTCTGAAAGTGTTTTAGAATGGGCAGGTTAAACATCTTACTACCATGTTCTTTTGGAAGGATAGAGTTACTTCCAGCTATCTGTATACCATTTTCATCAGCATTTGTCGTACTCAGATCATCAGCTTAAAAAAGAAAATATTAATTTCTTAGAACTTCACTGTATTTGACCAGGCTCATAACTTCTTCTTTCATGTCACATTTTAATATATAGCATACATATATATGGAAAATGTTTATTTATAGCCATATAGTGCCAAACTAATTCCAAAACACAGATCATTATTAATCGAATAATCTTTTCCATACCATGAAGAATACAATGTTGGTTATCATATGGTTACCTTATGTGATGCCCTGTTGCAAGAGATATTCTAGAGAAAATGTTTAAATACGTCAAAATGTCATGTTATCCAATACAGTAAGCTTTCCAAGTAACAAATCACTATTAAGCTTTAAGACCCCCAGTCAAGAAAACCAAGCCCTCTAGGTGTCGCACCAAATTTTCAAATATTATGTCCCAGAAAGCGCTGATTGGTAGAAATAAACTATATGACTCTACTGTTCAGAATCTTTTTTAATATTTGAAATCCATGAAGTATGAAAAAAGATACAGTTGTATGTAAATTTTGCTGTCCATGAGGACTAGGTTAATCTATTTGCATATCTAAATCAACAAGTGAGGCAGAAGATACAGCAATTTCTTCCTCCAAATATGAACATTCAGCTCCATCCACTATGTGTTCAGGAACTGTACTATCACTATCAATCAATACCCTCATTTTAGCTGGAGTTAATGAAAAGAATGCCTTTATCTTGGAAATGGTGATATGAAATTTATCTCGCCAATTTCCTAGAAGGACTGAATTCATCAGAATCTGATGAGCTTTAACAGCAAAAACTTTCTGACTTTGTTTCTTTTTCCCATTTTGTATAACTCAATTAACTTTTCCACACACTCCCTCGGCATTTCATCTTTCGTATTCCCTGGTTAGCATGCCCACCTTTTGACAATGCTTCTGGACAAAGTGTAGTAGTTTCACCTCCTACACTGCTTATATCTCCCTCAGGACGATTACAGTGTACCAGAGAAAGTGCTTGGCTAATAGCTAGTGATTTAGCAGTAATCCCAACTTGATCTTGTTATTCAACTCAGAATTTGCACATCGATCAGTTGTAAGTAATGGTGCCTTGGGGGATGTAAATGACAACCTCATTTCAATATTCAATTCATTTGCTCCACACACATTAAGCTTGGATGCTACAACAACTTCTACCTTGGATATATTGGACGAGCAAATGATTTTAGCAGCATAAACCTCCCACTGAACCTCATGTGTGCTTTGGCTTCTGGTTTTTGCTTAGAACTCTTTCACTAACATTGGACCATTTAACACATTGGCATCAAGAACTTTTCTATTAGTGCCTGTGATCCCATCTGTAAATGTTAAGGTCTTGTATTCGTCCATTTCTGTAGTTATATCATTTTCGTCTTCCATATAGAAGTTGAATTCCCTATTTCAAATATGAAAAGTGGGTATCCAGTCTCCCTCTAACAGTTTGAACCTCCAGATAAATCTACTTCTCAACATGTAGAATGTGCCCATCAGTGGAAGACTGCATTCCAACAATGAGATGGTATATACATGGGATCAGATCCTGTGAGACAAAGCACATAGCATTGTCACTTTTAAGAATCACTCTACAGATATCAAGACAATTTATTCAAACATTCTATAGCATCTCTTCAAGTACAGCTGAAACTTGTACATTATCTTGTCCTGTGTATCCTTCTACCACATAATCAACAAATTCGTACTGAAATCCAGGAACACCTTCATCATCACAGACCTATCTGACCTTCATTGAACCAAGCAATGACATACCCTTTTTACCAAAGTACTCCACTTGACCTTCCCTTTACTTCATTGGTAACACCTTCTGCTTATAGTCAAGCACAATAAGCATCACTGAAGAATCAATCTTAATTTTTTTCTTTAACTTTGTTGATTGCATCAAATTGAACTTTTGCTTTAAGCCTGTGGGCCATGTAACATAATGTTGAATTTTTTTAGAATCAGGATGGATGCTAACATTGATTTTACTTCCTTTGTTGTATCAAGATCATCCTCTAGTAATGAGGCAGTCTGCATCAAGATTGGCCTAACCGAAGTGTCGAAAAAATTGACAGATTTGCTACACTTAATGCAATAGCTGTGGTTGTGAACATGATTACATCATTTACCTAGTGCAAACGTACAGCAATGGGTCTGATCATCAGAGGATAAACTCAAATGCTTGTGTGTGTACTCATATATCAGAAATAACATTATTTCTTTCCATCTCTGTAAGATTTTCTCAATGCTTGCTTGAATATAATTTGCCACATTTGCTTCGGGATACTTCATGATGCTTAATCTTGCCATCACAGACTCGAATACTGAACTGACATATCTTAATCAAATATAGTAGGTTGACAGTCCAGCTTTTGTTTCACCTCTTTTTGCTGCAGCTTAACGATATCGTGAAATGTATCCACCTGAAGCAACTTGAAACTTTTCGAAGAAATTTTACAAGTGCTTCAGTGTTTTATTAGTTGAAAATACATAGAATAAAACTTAAAGGTTTTTTGTATAAGTGAGTAGTTAAGGATATATAAAAAAGAGGTGACAAGAGGATGCCTGTGTTACGAAATAAGCTTGTGAGATGAGCTCGAGATTTAGTCATGTAAGGAGAGTTGCCTAGAAACAAGCAACAAGACACGTGTATTACGAAATAAGCTTGTGAAACAAGTTTGAGAACTAGTAACCAAGGTCAGAAGCATAGTTACGTAAGAAACGTTGCCTAGAAACAAGATGAATACACCAGTACTTATGACAAGTTGAAGAATTACTGACCTCAACCTCTTAGAACTAAGAAAGCTACAGAAAAGTTTAGGTTTGATGAATCATATCGGCACTTTGAGGTAGTATTAGTTACAGCACATGGGTGTAGCAGTACAAGTGAATAGGCAGCCGGCTAACACCACTTATCTGTGACCAATTACTTGAGAGTTTTGGTTACAGTTCTGGTTTAGCCTGGGATTTCTCCTGAAGTATCCAATAGGAGCACAGGACTACTTGTGGGTGATGCTGTGTCCTATTTAGTGGGTCGAAATAATACAGAGAAAAGTTAGTTAAAAAACCCATGTCAGAGACTGAAAAGTTAAGTTCTCCAGGACTGAGAAGAAGTATCCATCGAGTAGTAATCCTCGAGTATTCTCCGGAAGAAGTTCTCCCAAGATTGAAGAGTTGACAATGAAGATGACAAACATGGCTAAGACTTCTAACAACCCAACTCTACTGTAAGTATAATCTCTCTCTCTTAATCAGCTAGTGTAGAAGTCATAGAAGATAGTAAATGTATCTAGATAAAAGTGTTTAATACGATATATAAGTAGTAACTCGATAGAACTAATGTTTAAAGAGTGTAATATTTTAGAGAAGTTTTTAAATGTTAAATAAACGTTATTTTGAGTGTTCAACCTTGGCCTGAGACTCAGTTTCTTTATTCTAACTGTAAGCTTCTTCGAGTTAGCGACTTGTGGCTCCACTCTTCACGAAAAATCCTCCAATAAATAAATTTGGTGTAACGAGTAGTTTTAATTGAAACTCCAACAATTAAGCCCACCAGGGCGCTACTCATTACACACACCCCAACCTGTTCATAGCTATCAAAGGAGTTCTTATACGCTTTGTGAAGGTCTTTGATACTCCATCTACTACTTTCACAAACTGGCATATCTGAAAATATGTGGTTGTCAATCCTTACATTCCTTGTTTGACCAGGCTTTACTTGAAGGCATCGTTGAATGAACGTAATTGCTGTTGCAATCCTTTGGCTATCCACACGGAAAGTATAATTGTGTTTGACCAAGCTTTACTTGAAGGCTTCATTGAATGAACATAATTGCTGTTTCAATCCTCTGGCTGTCCACACAGAAAGTATAATTGTGTTTTCGCAGATGTGTTCCACACTCCAGAGTATCAAACGTCTTTCTCAAAGATGAAAAGTTCACTTTTCCCATTGAGTGCTTCTGAACAGGTATAAGCTGATTTTGTTGGTCTGGTAGACTATTGAATTCGTTAGTGAGCATCCTTTTGCATGTACATCATTCGAGTGAATGATGAAGCCAAAATGCTTTGAGCAACCACAGAAATGTTTCTGCACACAACAAGTTATAGTTTGCACAAACTTTTGGAAATGACTTAGTTTGTCGATAAAATACTTCTTAAACTCAAATGGATCGGTTGGATACAAAAGTTGGAATAACTTAATAGTTATTTGTATGCATATTCGAATAGCCCTCTGTCTTTGTCTGAAACTTTGCAATGCATTAGTTTTGTACCCACCTTTAGATAAACATTCTAAAGCTGTGCGATTGGTAATATCCAAGGCATTGAATATAGCAGTAATGGTTTTAGAGGCTTCAGCATTTCCATCTGTTCCAGAATCAATATCGTACACTTTCTTCTAATCTAATTCGATTTTGACCTCTCAGGGCACTTGTCTTTATCTTTACTCTTCTTTCTCCACTTTCAGCATCATTTCTTCACTTCCAATTAATATGATTCGTTTTATTCCAGTATGAATCCAAAGGTAAGCAGCATCTACAAATGCCACAGGTGAAGCAGTCTCTTTTCTTTCTATGTTTATGTTACTGGCAAGACATTGTACAGATTTCACTTATGAGTATATTTTTTCAATCAGAAAAAGCTTTTGAGATTGTATTATTGGATTACGATTACGTTGTCTGGCACCTCCAATCCATTTTTCGGCTCTGATGTGTTTTTTTTCTAAATTTGGGTCCATTTTTTTATGACTGGGAGTCTTAAATAAATGAAATCACAAAATGCATTTTTCTCAAGTTAATATTCCTGTTTTTGTTAATAACTTTGATCTGCAGTTCTAAACAGAAATAAAGTATGTCAGTCATCTAGTTACTGAAATCTGCCGTATTCTTTGTA